AAGTTGTCCTAGACCCTCCCCTAGAATTCTGTGCTATAACACCTGGAACATAACATGGTGGCTGGAAATATTGGGAGTGTCAATACATCTAGAAGGCAGCACTAGGGGAAAAAATGCTTTCATTGATAAATATTAATCTCTGACTTGACTGTTATAACATTCTGCCTAAGAGGAAAGGGGGGATATGAGGAAAGAGCAGGGAATAATGGTCTATATTTAGGTGACATCAGCAGTGATAGCTCATCAAAAATAGACTACTTCTCCATGGTCTTAATTGGGTCAGTTGTAATTTGAGGCCAAGATTAAGAACATTGAGGCAAGTAAGAGTAAGAGTTGTTTGGGCTAATCACATATGAACAGAGTGAAGAAGAGGGGATGTCATATTCTGAATGGACAATAGGTTATTCACAAGAACAGTTAAAACTTCATCTGAATGAGACCACTGATTTCTCTTCCTTTTTAATATATATATAAGTTTTTATTTTATAGCATGTAAAAATTCCAATTTCAGTTGAACAGTGTGTTGTCTGGGTACAAATAGTTTCAGGAAATAATGAGAATGTTTACAAAAATATTCATTAGATTGATATTGATTATGGTAGTGTTACTAATAATCACAATATTATTTACGTAACCAATTCAACATACCTTCCTTATATCACTGATCCTTTCCATATATTTCCCTTTCTAGCTCCTGTTTTTATCAGCTAGCCATTGATAAAATAAGTCCTAAGTCAGAGAGTATTCATTTTCTTTCTTTTCCTTGATTACAAGTGATAGCCTATCCATTTCTGCACATTCTAATTTTTTAAAATTACATTTTCATCTGTTGAGATATCTTCACTTTTCTGTTGTTGCGCAAATACAATTCTAGCTGCAGTCAATACATGTGAAATCAAATATGCATTCCCTTTATTATATTTATCCGGTAAAATGACCAACAAAAATATCTCTGCTTTCAAGTCAATATGCTGTTTTATCATTTTTTTCCAGCCAAGTGTGTATTTTTGTTCAATATTTTTTCGCTTTTTGACATGTCCACCACATATGATAATATGAGCCGGGTGTCTTGTGGCATTTCCAACATTTTGCAGACTTATCCTTATCTTTGCTAACCTTGAGGGTGGAAAATGCCATCTATAAAACATTTAATAAAGATTTTCTTTGTACGCAGTAGACATTGTTAATTTATAGTTTCTAACTCATAGTTTCTGGCATTTATCTAACTCAATCGGGTAGCCAAAATTTTTAGCCCATGCTATCATTGTCTCTTTTTCTTGTTCATCTTCCATCTTAATACTTAATAAATAGCTATATATTTTATTTATTAATTTTTCATCTGTCCCTGTTAACAACTGATCTATTTCTGTTAATTCTTTATGGAAACCATACCTTTTGACATTTTTCTCATATCTAGATTGTATCTGCAGATATGACCACCATGTGATCTCAGTCCTTTGATCACTCAGTTCCTGTTTGGTTTTAAGTTCCCTCTTTTCATTCAAAATATCTTGATATCTGGTAATATTCTCCATATCAATAACATTTGGGTAAATCAATGCCTCCATTGTGGAGAGCCAGACTGGTATTTTCAAATAGTGTTTTTCTTTAATTTTCTCCCATGCTAATAGTGCATTCCTGATATAATGTCATTAGAAATAGCTATGTATTTTATTTTTTCCATACCGTAAAAAAACATGCCAACCCAGTTGGAGATCATGTCCCTCCAAGGTCAATAGTCTTTTATTCCTCAAGCCAATCCATTCTTTCACCCAAGTAAATGGACATGGGTATAATTACCTGAGAACGCACTTTCTATCTACGCTGCAAGAGAGTCCAGGATGGGTAGACTCCTCCCCATGACATCATAGAGCTGAGTCTGCCAGTGTATAAAAGCCGGGCCCTTGCTGGCTCCCCCAGCTTTAGGCGAAGGTATGTGATATACGTCGAATGTCTGTGGAAGCAAAAAAAACATTTAGAAAACAACCACCCACCACCCACCACCCCAATATCCAAAACTGGACAAACCAAGGGTGGGGCTGGACTCTCTTGCAGCATAGATAGAAAGGGCATTCTCAGGTAATTATACCAACGCCCATTCTCTTTTTTTAAAAAATAAACTTTTATTAATCTTTTACAACTTTAAAAAAAAAAAAGAAAAAGTGTAAACATCTTAAGTTCAACAGATTGTTGCATTCATCTTATACTACAATTTTGTGCATTTACAAATATACACAATTTATGCAAATACACACATTTAACTTGTGCATTGCTTATCATTATTTCACCATCCATTTATCTATCTTTGCTCAATCCAGTCATACCATTTTCCCCAAATTTTATAACAGTTGATCTCTCTCTCTTGTAACATCAGAGTTAATTTATCCATCTTGGCACAGGTCATTATTTTTTGAATGACCAGTTCTTCTAGTGGTATACATGTATGTTTCCAGCACTGCGCATAAGCAATTCTGGCTGCAGTCAGAATATGTAATATTATATATTTTATATTTATCTCATATATTTCTTTTTGAATATCCCCAATAAAAATAATTTGGGTTCTAGTTCTACTTGTTCATTAGTAATCTCTTGCAACCAATTTTTAATTTTTAGCCAATATTTTTGAGTCTCCGGGCATGACCACCACATGTGATAGAATGTACCATTCGTAACAGATAACAGATAACAGATAATCAGAATTGGAAGGGACCTTGTAGGTCATCTAGTCCAACCCCCCACACAAGCGGGAGACCCTACACCATTTCTGACAAATGGCAGTCCAATCTCTTCTTGAAAGTCTCAAGTGATGGTGCTCCCACAACTTCTGAGGGCAAGCTGTTCCATTGGTTGAATGTTCTCACTGTCAGAATGTTTCTCCTTATTTCCAGGTTGAATCTCTTTCTTTGATCAGTTTCCATCCATTGTTCCTTGTCTGGCCTTCAGGTGCTTTAGAAAATAGCTTGACCCCCTCTTCTTTGAGGCAGCCCCTGAGATATTGGAAGACTGCTTTCCTGTCTCCTCTGGTCCTTCTCTTCACTAAACTAGCCATGCCCGGTTCCTGTAACCGTTCTTCATAGGTTTAAGCCTCCAGTCCCCTCATCATCCTGGTTGCTCTTCTCTGCACTCTTTCTAGAGTCTCAACATCTTTTTAATAGTGTAGTGACCAAAACTGGATGCAGTACTCTAGGTGTGGTCTTACTAAGGCTTTATAGAGTGGAATTAGTGCTTCCCTTGATCTTGATTGTATCCCTCTGTTAATACAATTTAGGATTGCATTAGCTTTTTTGGCTGCTGCTGCACACTGCTGGCTCATATTCAGCTGGTTGTCCACTAAGACTCCAAGATCCCTCTCACAGTTACTGCTATTGAGCCTGGTTTCACCCAGTCTATATGTGTACTTTTGGTTTTTCTTGCCTAAGAGTAGGACTTTACTTTTCTCTACATTGAATTTCATTTTGTTAGATATGGGCTCGTGTTCTAGTCTGTCAAGATCCATCTGGATCTTGAGCCTATCTTCTTGGGTGTTAGCTATTCCTGCCAGCTTAGTATAATCTGGAAATTTGGTAAGTTCCCCTTCTATTCCTTCATCTAAGTCTTTAATGAAGATATTGAAGAGTACTGGGCCTAAGATGGAACCTTGTGGCACCCCACTGCTTACTTCCCTCCATGTAGACTTAGACCCATTAAGGACTACTCACTGAGTATGGTTTGCCAGCCAGTTGCGAGTCCATGTAGTGGTGGTGCTATCTATTCCACCTTTTTCTAGCTTACTAAGAAGTAGGTTGTGGTCTACTTTGTCGAATGCCTTGCTGAAATCTAAATATATTATGTCCACAGTATTTTGCTGGTCTACTAATTCAGCCACTGTGTTGAAGAATGAAATAAGATTGGTTTGGCATGATCTGTTCTTAACAAACCCGTGCTGACTGCTAGTTATTACTTTACTTGTTTCTAGATGTTGGCAGATCTGGGTTTTTTTATTATCTTTTCCAGTATCTTCCCGGGTATTGATGTTAGGCTGATTGGTCTATAGTTTCCTGGGTCTGTTTTTTTTCCCTTTTTTGAAGATGGGTACCACATCAGCTCTTTTCCAGTCCTCTGGTAGTTCCCCGGTGCTCCAGGATTTTTGAAAGATACGGTGCAGTGGTTCTGAGATGACCTCTGCCAGCTCCTTTAAAACTTTGGGATGTAATCCATCAGGCCCTGGTGATTTGTGTTCATCAAGATCAGACAGGTGTTCTCTTACTATTTTTTTTGCTTATTTTAACTTTTATTTCTGGTCTGTCTTTTACAGTTATGTTTTTGGTGGGTTGAGCTATAGTTTCTTTTTGCATGAAGACAGATGCAAAGAATGAGTTAAGCAGTTCTGCTTTCTCTCTGTTGCCTGTTATTTCCTTGCCATCTTCTCTCTTTAGTGGACTGACTGTTTCCTTGATTTTTTTCTTATTACACTTCCAACATGTCGGATTCATGCTGGGATACATCTTCGCTAATCTCGAAGGAGGCAAATACCATCTATAAAACATCTTATAGGCATTGTCTTTATATGCAGCCAATTTCATTAATTTATAATTTTGATTCCACATGCTTTCCCATTCTGTCAAATTTATGTTATGTCCAATGTTTTGAGCCCAGGCTATCATGCATCCCTTAACAATGTCTTCCTCCAATTCTACTTCCAACAAATACTTACAAATTTTTGTAATTTTTTTTTTGTCTGGGCCTATTAAAATTTTATCTAATTGTTGTAGTTTCAAATATATTCCAAAATCCTTTATATCTTTTTTATGCCTATTTTGTAACTGAAGAAATGCCTACCAGTCAATATGTATCCCTTGCTTTTGGAGGTCTTGCATCGATTTAAAATTTCCTTCTGCATCTAATACATCTTTATATTTTGTCATCTTGCCTAAATCTAAATTATTTGATGAATCATGGCCTCCATTGTGGATAGCCAAGATTGAGATCTTCATATAATGTCTTTTTAAAAATTTTGGTACAGTTTTGTAACAGAGTCCCTAATTAAATGCCTATGAAAATACTGTTGCTTCCTAGTTCCTGTTTCCCACAAAAAGGCATGCCATCCTCTTTGCAGGTCGTGACCTTCCAGGCTTAACATTCTTTTATTGGTTAAATTGATCCATTCTTTCATCCAGATTAGTGCTGCCGCGCTGTGATATAACTCCCAATTAGGAAGTCCAAATCCTCCACTGCTTTTTATATCCTGTAGTGATTTTATCTTTATTCTAGATTTTTTACCTTACCAAATAAATTTCACCATGATTTTATTAAGTTCATTTAAAAACAATTTCTGTAATCTAATAGAAATCGTTTGAAATAAATATAAAAATCTAGGTAAAATTGACATTTTTATGGCTGCTATTCTTCCCAGTAGTGATAATTGCAATTTGCCCCATAGTTCTAAATCTTTTTTTGTTTGTTGTAATAATTTATAATTGTTCTTCTTTATTGTTTTGCATTGTGTGGTCAGCCATATACCTAAATATTTAATTTTTATTGTTTGTAATCCCATTGCCCTTTCTAATTCTATTTTTTGTAATTCTGTTAAGTTTTTGGTCAAAAGTTTCATTTTCTGTCTATTAATTTTCAGACCTGCCACTTCCCCATATCTTTCTAGTTCACTAATTATCTCCTTTCCTGTTTCTATCAGATCTTCAATAAAAAACACCATATCGTCCGTGAAAACTTGCAGTTTGTATTCTTCTTTTCTAACTCTTAGTCCTTTTATTTTGCCTAATTCGTCTAAGTAGGGTCTCAAGTGCTAATATAAAAAGCAGAGGAGAAAGTGGGCAGCCTTGTCTAACTCCTTTTCTTATTTCTAAACTCTGGGTGGTTTCACCATTAACTATAATATTTGCCTTCTGGTTAGAGTATATTGTTATTATGTTCTCAAATTTAGTTCCTAGATTCATATTGTAAATTTGTTGTATCATAAATTGCCAATTCAGGTTATCGAATGCTTTCTGAATGTCCCAAAAGACAAGTGATAACTTGTTTTTCCAGGTGGGCATCATAATATTCCAAAATATCCATTTTGGTCTTCCCTATCGGGAAGGCTAGAGTCTCTCAGATGTTGCCACTCAAGCACCACACAGTCAAGTGGAACCACTGAGGGTCCAGGTGCATCAAGGCCCCCTGATAAAGGGAGATCCTGTGAGCCAGGATCCTCCATGGCTGGGCTATAGGTAAATTCACCAGATCGGCAAACCAGGGTCTCCTGGGCCAATGAGGTGCCAGGAGAATCAGCTCTGCCTTTTCCTCCAACATCTTCCGAATGACTGCCGGAATGATAGGAAGAGGGGGAAAGGCATAAAGGAGACCTGGGGGCCATCTGCTCCAAAGGACATTGGTCCCCTCCGCTCCCTGAGAAGGAAACCTGGTGAAATATCTGCTCACCTGAGCGTTCAGGGGAGTGGTGAAAAGGTCTACTGAGGGAGCCCCGAATCTGAGGGAGAGATTCCTGAACAGAGAGGTATGGAGACTCCACTCTGAGTGGTCGACAGTGCTTCGACTCAGCCAGTCGGCCTGAGAGTTGTCGACCCCTGAAATGTGATCTGCTCTGATGGATAACAGGTGTCTCTCAGCCCACCGCCCTGGGCACTCGGCTTCCCTCATCAGAGCCCTGGATCTCGTCCCTCCCTGACAGTTGATGTGTGCCTTTGCAGTCATGTCCATCATCACCAACACATGTGCCCCTGCCACCCTGGCTGGGAAATGTTTCAATGCCAGGAAGATGGTGCTGAGTTCTAACCAGTTTATGGGGCAAGTCCTGTCTACTTGAGACCACCTCCCTTGGGCCATCTGACCAGCCCCCCAGCCCTGGAGACTGGCATCTGTGGTGAGTGGGATTCTGTCTGGTTCCTTGAACAGATGTCCCCTCCAGAGAGCTGGGGATTGCCACCACCGGAATGAGAGAAGAATCTGTGGTGGGACCTGCACTCTGGAGGAAGAGTGACCGGTTCCTGCTCGTTGATAAGGTAGCAGGAACCATTGAAGGGCCCAAGAATGCAGCCTTGCCCAAGGGATGATGCCAATATAGGAAATCATCTTCCCGAGAAGTCTGGAAAGATGAGACAAAGAAACTGTGCGTTGGCCTCAAATCTGAAGGATCATCTCATTGAGGCTTTCTCCTCGATCTGTGGAGAGGGAAACCTTGCAAAGAGACGTAACGATGATTGTGCCCAAATGGAATAACCTGGTTGTGTGAGAGAGATGACTTTTCTTGAAGTTGATTGAAAAGCCGTGGTCCTGAAGAAACTGCAATGTAGTGCAGAGGTCTCGCTGTGCTGACCGGAGCGACATCGACTGAATCAAGATGTCCTCCAGGTAACATTGAAGTCTCAGGAACTGACCGAAGTGAAGCTACCAAAGCCGCCAGCACCTTGGTGAAGACTCTGGGAGTCAATGAAAGCCCGAAGGGAAGGGCCCGGTACTGAAAATGCTCATTCTGGTAACAAAAATGAAGAAACTGGCGGTGATGGTGCCAGATGGGGATATGGAGGTAAGCCGCTGTGAGGTCAACAGAAGAGAGGAGGTCACCCTCCTGAACGCTCTCTAGGATTGAATGCAATGTCTGCATTTTAAAACACCTATATGGGATAAACTTGTTCAAAAACTTGAGGTCCAGAATGGCTCACCACCCCCACCCACCCCAATGCCTTGGGGACCATGAAGAGCCTAGAGTAAAACCCAAGGCCTCGTTGGTCTGCTGGGACCAGTTGTATGGCCCTTATGTCCACAAGGTGTTGAATGGCCGATTCCACAAGGGCCCATTTGGCACTAGCCCGAGAAATGGGACATCTCACAAAAAAAAACATGGGGGCGGGCAAGAGGAATTCCAATTGCAGACCCAACCTCACCATACTAAGTACCCAGGCATCTGATGTAGACTCCTCCCATCTGGAGGCAAAGAATGCCAAACAGCCTCTGTTGCAGGGGGGGAGAATGGGCATTTATTTGGAGTGCCAGAAGGAATGGCCTCCTCCTCCTCAAAAGGGCCATTTACCTGTAGGTTGTTGCTGCCTGCCCACCACCACTGGTCGTTGTTCCTGGCGCTAAGGGAACACCCTCTGGTTACGGGAGAAGCGAGATGTGGACTCAGACCAAAAGGAGGAGGGATGGAAATACAGAGTTGGATGATAATCTGCCCTCTTTTCTGTTGAAGAGAGGACCTTTCTCTTTCCCTGGTCTCAACCAGGTACGGGTCCAAGGCCTCTCCAAAGAGCTTCTCTCCAGCGTAAGGAGCCGATGCCAACTTCCATTTTCGGCAGGAGTCAGACTGCCAATTTCGCAGCCAGAGAAGCTGTCTCGCAGTCACCGAGGAGGCCATGGCTCTAGAGGCAAACTTGGCAGAATTTAAAGTGGCGTCTGCCATAAATTCAGCCGCTGCAATAATCTTTTTTGTTTCCAATTTTTTTTATTTCAATCTGCATATGCACAACAATACATTAATAGTGTGGCATCAATATATCATACATTTTAGTATAAGCAAAATTAATAATATCAATCATATCTTTCAATGCATATATTTCACATTAATTCATAATCCTTCAATGCTTATTTTCAACCTTTCAAAACTCTCTCCAAATGCCTACCACCATATCAGTTAAACATACCTAATAATTCCATTATTCAATTTTCTCCCTGCTTTTATTTTTTAAAATAAAAAATTCTCATTTGGCAAGTGGTGTGGTTCCAGGTTTCACATCTCAATACAAACATGACCATAGTTACCTGTTCATTATATTTGTTTAGGTTATATTGCATCATCCTTATTATTGTTAAATATTAAGCTTATCTTATCCAGTTCCAATTCATGTTATATTAATACATTCTCATATCTTATTTTACAGTGTTATCTAAAATTCTCATCTCATTTCTGTTGTCATTTCTCATATTACTTTTTTCTGTCACATTTGTCATTTTATCAATCCTTATCTGTAAATATAATTGTCCCCTCTGGTTAATAATTCGAGCTAACCACCTTCATTCTACCTTAATATCAATCTCCCTATCTAGTATATAACACAAATATATATATATTTATCAGATTCCACATTATATTTTCTCAAACACCTTATGAATCATCTATACATTACAAAATACTATTTTCAATATATTCTTATATATCACAACATATTACCTTGCAGAATCTCCTTCCTTATCCTTTTTTTTTCATCCATTATCTCTCACTCTTTGGACAACGTACTTTCTTTTCATCCTTGTTTGTTTCCTATTCCTCTTTGTTTTCTGGTCCTTTCTCTTAATTCCCTTTTTTCCCATTCTTATTCCCCTTCATTTCTCATTCCAGTTATTAAACTTTTCTCTCTCACTCTTTTGATTTTTCTTTTGCCCTTCCTTTTTCTCCTTTTTCCCACTCCCTTTATCTATTTTCCGAACCATTCACCCTTTTATCATCCCATCAGACCACAAATTTTTAATTCTAATTCCTTTTTGCCCCTGCTTAAATAATAGTTGTTTGTTTTGTCCTTCAATGTTGGCTTCTTCTTTATTGAACTCCTCCCCCTCTGGTTTATTTTGTTCTTGTGTATGCTGAGTCACCATTTCTAATTTCTGTAGTACATAATTGCACATTACAAGTTTAATTTTTATCATGTCCCTTATATCTTGCAAATCCAATCTTGACTCTTGTAAATCCAATCTTATATCAACAAATAGTTTCTCCATTGTATCTTCTCCTTTTTTCCTTTTCTTTCCTCTTCCTTAATAGTTAAAATCCTCTTCTTTAATAGATATATTCAATCCCAGAGTCCAGGATATTATTTCAGCCAATATCTTTTGAATTTATTTTCAACAATCCATACTCTTGAGTCTTTGTTCAGATGGTTCTAGAACAGGGATGGGCAAACTTTTTGGCTCGGGGGCCGCATTGACTTTTAAAATTTGACAGACGGGCCAGGTCAGCACAAGATACGATACATATAAAAAACTGCATTTGTTAACAGTACATATCAAACATAAACAGAAAAAAAGCATTAAACTTCGCTCTCTTTTGCTCCAGTTAGGTGCTCCCAGCATGCACAAGGAGCATGAAGGGAGGCAACAAGGGCATGTGATGGGTCCCTTCACGGTCCCCTCCCAGGTGAC